CTGATAATTCAGTGGGATGGTGGAAGGTGTAAAACCCTTCGACCAAATATTCTGTTCAAATATGTTTTTTTTTCCCTCCCACCACCCCTCCCCTTCACACCCGTTGGAGCATAACATAGGGGTTTTACAACTAACTCATTTATTGGCAGCCGGTCTGGCGCTTACAGGAACAACTCTGCTGGAGCATTTTAGCTAAAGTGAGAGGTAGATATGGCCACAGATCACAGGTAACACCAGAATACTGACACGTCTAACCAGATCAAGCCAGGCCCGGTTTCTGAGATGACTTCTCCCCAGTGTCACCTTTAGTGCCCACAGGAGAATTGACTGCAGTGGGGGACACCACCCCGTTCCTGCTCTTTCCTCCAAAAGAGTAATAACACCTCTGATTAAACCCTTACATTATTAGAAGGCATTTAATTGGATTTCTTATCCATAAATATATTATTTAAAATGCTTCTGCTCTCCTAATAAATTGGGAATCAGTTTTACCATAAGCCAGGGATTTTTTTTCCTTTTCCTGAAAGAGTCTGGAATGACTACGGAGCCCCAACTTTACAGAGGTGGAAACCAAAGCCACTCGCTCAGGGCCGCACAGCAAGGGCGTGACAGAACTCCGCGGCGAAATCCGTGGGCCGGCTGCTGGGGGGCATGGTGGCTGTTCCGCAGGAGTTTGCGATTGTCGGGACCACAAGAAATTGCGCGACTGGGTCTGGGCGTCGCTGAGAGGGGGTGCACGCTCGGGAATAAAGGAGCCTCGCCGCGCCCCGCGGACTTTGTGCTGGAAACCCGCCTAGGGTGTCGAGAAACCTCCACTGTTTCCAGGACGCAGCGCCTGCGCCACGGCTGCTCTCGGCCTTGGGCTGCGTTTTAGTTGCGCAGAGGCCGAGGTTAGGATTCTGGTGAAAGTTCCCAAGAACCTTCAGTGCCGTCGCAACCTAGGACCGATCCTTGGCCCCGCGGTATCGGTGGGAAGTTGGAGGCCACCTTCCGAGGCCCCTAACCCGGAGCGCCTAGCCGGACCGCTGCAGAACAGACGCTCGCCGCTTGCTGCAGCCTGGGCCCCGGCCGCCAAAACCACCGAGCTGGCGGCCGGACGGGTCTGGGCAAGGCCGCGCGTCCTTCAGCCGTGGGCCCGCCAGAAGCGCCGCAGGCCCCCGCTTCTCGCCAAGGCGGGCGGACGAATGTTGCCTGGCTCAGGGGCGCAACGCCCCCCGCCCCCACCCCGGTCTCTCCGCTTAGCTGAGGCGGCCTTGGCTAAGTCTCCCCACTCCTGCACCGAGGCCTGCGCGCAGGCCTGAGAGGCGACCTTGGAACTCGAGACCCCCCAATCTGCAGCAAGAAGGCCCTTCTGTATACCTAGACCCCGGGGCCTAGGGTCAGGGTGGCTGCAGATGCCCCTAGGCCGTCTCCTCAGCTCACTTGGCAAAGTCTCCCCTTTCTTTTCAAGGCTTAGAGGGAACCCCTGATTTGGGGGGGCGCGCACGGCTCCGCGCCACTGCCAGACCCAGAACTAATTTCTGAACGTCTTTGGGCCTTAGTTTTTCCAACTGCAAAATGGGGCGCGGCATCCCACCTGTCATAGTAAACCACACACTGCATGCAAGGCGCGCGGTCCCCGGCGGCACTGTAACAGAGGCGGCGAAGGGGAGCCATTCCCCAAGTGCGGGAACCCAGCACCGGCCCCACTGTCGGTCTCTTTCCCCGGCTCCCCAAAACCAGCGCTCGAGAAGAGCCCGCACCACGAGGCTGCCTCTTGCCTCCCTGTCTAGCATCTGTAACATGGTCGCGGCTCCAGAGACACTCGAACCGAGGTGACGGCAGGCCGCGGGGAAGGGCGGCGAGTTCTCCGGCGGTCCCCTCCGCGGCGAGGCTGGGCATCCACACTCACCCACCTGCCTCTGGAGCCTCGGCCCCTTCCTGCCCACCCCCCACCCCACCATGGGCCCTAATGTTGGGCGAGGATCAAGAAGGAGTGCCCGGGTGGGCCTCCCAGGCTCCTCCAGATTCTCTGTCCCCTGAGCTCAGCCTTGGGGCACTTACCTGATTTGGATATTTCTGCACCCCGACTCTGCCTCACAGTCCTCTTGGTGGGGGACTGCAGCTGTGTCCCTTAACGCCGCATCCTCGAGCTCTATTCCGGCGCAGCCACAGGGAAAACGGCGACCTCCAAGGCTTTGCACATCGGGAGGCCGGGGTTGGGCACCGAACACCCTCACATCGCTCAGTGATCGCTCCCACCCGCTGGGGGCGCCCGCACTACTCTGGGTGGGCGCGAAGGAGAGAGAGTGGCAATTCGGCCTCACACGAGCGGACTCAGCACCCGAACTGGAAGAGACTCCTGGCGCGTCTCTGGCTGAGCAAGCCTTGGTTGGGGCAAAGCGCTCAGAGAGGGTGAATGCCGTGGAGGCACCCCACTGGGTGAAACCTGGGCCTCCCTGTGCCTCACTGAGACTAGGACTGCATTCTGCGGGCAGGAGCCGGCCTCACCGTCAGGCACCTTTTGCGCAAAGCTAGACACCAGAGAGAAAGAAAAATACGCGTGCGTGTCCCCCCAAAGGCCCAAGAACCGAGGGTCACCTGGCAAACAACGAAGGTAATTTAGAAAAACAAAAAGCACTAAGCTTATTATGGAGAAACAAAGTAAGTGAAATTGGAAAGCGACGCCAGTACCCAAGGAAAGGGCTGTTTGGCCAGTAAAGGCAAGAAAGTCGCTCTGTTTCTCAGATGCTCAAGTCTCCAGCCCACGGCCAACCTTTCATATCCCGATGTCGGCATTTATTGGGCTTCATAGTGAGAAAGCAACAGAATTTCAGGAAAACACCCACAGAAAGAGGCCCGAAGCTCTGAGTCACCCTAGGCCCCTCTCTAGAGTGTCTCTAAGTCCCCAGTGACCCGGCTTCCGAGGACAGGGGCTCGGAGGTGGAGGTGAGGGCAGGGACGCTGGGAGCTCCAGCTGTGTTTCTCAGACTCCCTCCCCTTCCTTCCTGCTGGGCCAGAGCAGACAATTCCGCAGCCCGCGTACAACGAAGGCACCCGAACACCCGAGATCGCAAGGTGGCGTACAGACCCGAGCCGGGAGGAGAAAGGGAGGCCTGCGAGGCTGCGAGGGGGTCTCTGGGGCAGCACCCCATGGCTTAGGCCTCAGGAGCTACTGGGAGCCACGCCTGGAGGTGGGAAAGAGGCAGAGAGACGGGGAGAGAGAGAGAGAGAGAGAGAGAGAGAGAGAGAAGCAAAGAGATCCGGAAAGATTAGAAAGATAACATAAAGGGATGAAAAAGGAAGAACAGAGAGAAAGAGAAACCCAGAGTGACAAGACATAAGAGTCAGAAGTGGAGAGGATGTGACAAAGAAAGAGTCAGAGAAGCTAAAAGCAACAGAGAACGAACAGAGAGAGAGAAAGAGAGAGAGAGAGAGAAGCAAAGAGATCCCGAAAGATTAGAAAGATAACATAAAGGGATGAAAAAGGAAGAACAGAGAGAAAGAGAAACCCAGAGTGACAAGACGTAAGAGTCAGAAGTGGAGAGGATGTGACAAAGAAAGAGTCAGAGAAGCTAAAAGCAACAGAGAACGAACTATATAAACATAAAACGGCAAAGAAAAGGGAAAAGATACAGTAACGCAGAAACCAAGAGTAACATAGACGAGAAAACAGAGAATATCGTAAAGAAA